AGTGGGAGATGGGGGGGGAACCGGCCGCCGGAAGCAGGGCTGGATGGGGGCAGCAGGGCTGGACTGGGGAGATCAGGAGGAGAAGGGGGAGGAAGCGGGAATGACCCAGGCATATGCCACACAAGTGAGTCCAGCCCCTGGGATTCCATTTTGCACCCCCCTATGCCCTCCCTCAAGTAGTTGCGAACTACCTGGCTGGTAGACACACTCACGCACATCTACCAGCCAAGCAGTTCACAGCTACGGACTGATACACCTAATTATAATAAAACTTACCAAATTAGACAATACTGGACATTTTATGTGTCCAGTATTTTCTCAATTTGTTTCCCGGACAGAACCCTCAAATACCGGACTACCCGGTACAAAACCGGACACCTGGCAACCCTACCCCTCCTCCCCGAAGCCCTGGCCTGGGCTGGGCAGAGGATGTAGCCTGGTGAAACACTGAAAATTTATTCATTTTTCATTGTTTTAATATGTGTTTATATTTTTGGGCTGCAAAAAAGCAGTACTAAAAAAAAAAAGCCAAAAAAACAGTTTCCAACTAAAGTAAAAAGTTTGGGAAACCCTGGTCTAGCCAGCTTTCTATCCATCTTACAGTCCATTTATCCAATCCATATTCCCTTAACTTGCTGGCAAGAATATTGTGGGTGACCGTATCAAAAGCTTTGCTAAAGCTGGCACTGGGGGCTTTGGGAGGACCAGAAACAACTTATTTGAATATTCATCATTTGCTTAATGAATATGCAAATATGTTACCGGTCCTCCAAAAGCTCGTGAATGGATTTACTGGTCCCTGTGTCAAAAAGTTTGGGAACCCATGATCTAGTTTCCTTATTTGCATGGACAAATCAGAATTTTTGAACATCCTAGAATGTGAGCACACAATTTTGAGTACATATACTTAGGGGCTAGATTTAAACTATTTTTGAAGGCATAAAGGATGAAAGAAAAATGATTCATTATACAGCTATATACTTCTCTGCAGACTGCAAGGCTTCTCAGCCCTTGCTAATACAGTACAAAAATGCAAAAGAGAAACAGTTCTTTCCATCAAGTTTGCTTCTATAGAGAGTAAAACAGAAATTCGACATTCTAAATTCCCACAGCTATCAAAATTAAGAACATGAGTAAAAAAATTTAGAGTACATGTTGCAATACATAAAAGATACACTTAAATATTGTTTAAAAAAACCAGCTATCAGAATATTAACATCTCCTACACCTTGAGGCACAGGAGGTAAAGTTATTCTACATAGGCACTCCCTGACTTACAAACATCCACACAAACAAAATCTCACCTGCAGCCTGAGGGGATCAAGAGGTGCAGGTGGCAGTGCAAATGCAGGACTCCAGAGGAGCAGAGGGCAGCTGCGAGACTAGAGAGAAGCAGCAATTTCCCCTTCAAAGTGCCGCTTCTCTCGGGTCAGCTGCACAGCTGTCTTCCTCCAGCCCACACTTGCGCCATTTGCTGCCTCCTGGTGAGCAGGGGCTGCCGGAGCCATGGCTATGCTCACAAGGAGAGGCAGGGGATGAGGATGGGGGGCTGCCAGACTTACTGCCAAGTCTGCAGGGGAGTGTGTGGGGTCAGGAAAAGGAGCTGGTGTAGAGCCCATAAGGGGGTGCAGTCAGAGATGCCCAGAAGTCCCCTTCAGAATTTTCATCTATTACACCTGCCTCTCCTCAAGCAGCAGTATTCAAGGCTAAATTTAAAAAGTAATTCTTAGTAAATGTTACTGTTTTTCTATTTTATTTAATTATTAGAAGGTTTACCTGGCACTGTTCTAGTCCCTAATTAATTTTTTGTTTTTCTTCGTTTAAATTATTGCTCTGGGGATGAGGGGTTCATGATGCAGCCTGCCCTGGGGAGAGAGGACTATCTCATTTCTCTCACCGTGGCAGCTTGGGGCCAGATAACAAGGGCCTGTCTATAGCTGCTGCAGCTCCAGCATGTCCCCCAGCTGGGGGAAGGGTGCATGTCCCCCAGCTGGGGGAAGGGTGCATGTCCCCCAGCTGGGGCAGGTCTGGGTTTGTCTGCCCCCTGTGCTCCCCAGCCAGAATGAGGAATGCAGCAAACTCGAGGTGGGAGGCTCGAGGCTGGTGCAGTTCCAGAAGGTGGAAGTGCCCTCAGCCAACCCCTTTCACGTGCTTGGTAATTCTGTCTCCTTTCTGTATGGTAGGTGAAAAGCAATTCAATTTCAAGCACATCCCATTTTCCTGGCACAACCAAACCCTTAACTAGCTTTAAAGTTATAATAAAAGGAAGTGGTATACTGAATGTGGTGTTCTTAATTCTTACCATTTAGGAGGCGTTCTTGAACAGACAGGCAAACTCAAATATATAGTAGACTAGTATTGTTTTCTACTATTTTTTATTACAAACATACAGAATTTCAGCTACATTATGGTGTGACGGTGCGTCGGGGGCCCCCAACCCTGCACCCCCGTCCGCAGCAAAATGTGACTCTCAGCCAACCAGTAGAGTAGAATGTTTATTGGCTCTCATAGACAAGGCATAGCTTAGGGTTTATGTTACCACAGAAGACAGGGCAACCAGCCTTATTTCTCTCAGGGGAAAGGGGCTCACAGGCCCCTGAAACCTCCTGTCCTGGACTTAGTCTGCTCTCCACATGCTTCCCCCAGCCAAGACTGACCCAGCTCCTAGGCCTGTGGTCCCCAACCTTTTGGGGCTGCTGGACGCCTGGGGGCGGAGCCGTGTACACGCCCTGGGGCGGGGCCACCCATACACCGTGTGCCCAGTGCTGGTGCCACCTATGTGCCACACTCCCGGGGCCGATGCCACTCCTGTGCCCACGCCCGGGAGTGGGGCTGCCCAAACACCACGTGCCCGGGGCTGGCGCCACTCCTGTGCCGGCGCCACTCCTGTGCCACGCGCCCAGGGGCAGGGCCGCCCATACACCATGCTCCCAGGGCCGGAATAGCCCATGTGCTGCATGCCCGGGGCCAGGGCCGGCGCCGCTCCTATGCTGTGTGCCCAGGGGTGGGGCTGCCCATACGCTATGCGCCCGGGGGGCTGGCCCAGATCAATCAGCAGGCGCACAGAAATGGCCCGGCGGGCACCGCGTTGGGGACCACTAGGCCCTACCTGATCCCCCCTCTCCGCCAGGTAGCCATCCCTGCATATCTTCCTTTGTCTCTCTCTGGGAGCAGCCTTATCATTTGCTTAGGCTGGGACGAGGTGTCTGAGCCAATACACCTGTGGAGTGAATCATCTGGAATCAAACAACACAGCCAGGATGTTAAACCAGGGTTACAAGACAGGCAGCACCCCCACTACGTCACAAATGGATTAAATAGATTTTGTGGGCTAACCTGGGAATCTAACCACCATTTGTAACATTATTACTATGGGAAAATGTGTTCTGAATTCCAGACAACTAACTTGCAAATGAACTTTTAAAACACAACCCATTTGTAAGTTGGGGACTTCCTTAAGATACATGTCCATGTTACTTGTTTTTCTTCCTTAAAATGAAAGATCTCTTTTGAACTGTGAGATAGAAAGTTCTGTACTGTCTAGTATACTTCTGCTCAAGGTCTGGTATCTCATGAACTGTGTTTTTGCATATACAGCAGCCATAAAATTTGTGGGCACACCCATTGTGAACACAAGATTCCTGTTTGTATTAAGGATGTTAAGAAAAAGTTAACTAGTTGAGCAGTCAATGGAATTTCCATTAGCTACTTGACTAGTGGATAGGTACGTCTGCATTCCTCCTTTGAAATCTACAAGAGCCCCAGCAGTTGCCCTTGTAGATTTCAAAGGAGGAATGTAGAACTCCATGTGCAGCCTGGGGCTAGCAGGAAGTCTCCCTGACTCCAGGCTGCACTGGGGAGCCAGCTGGGGACTCTTGTATTTCAAAGCATCAGCACACCATGGAGTCCAGGGTTAGCAGGGGACTCACAGTCCCCCCAGGCTCCATGCTGCGTTGCCGATTTGAAATGCCATGCAGAGCTGGGATCCCAGGCTCCGGGGGACATTTCAGAGGAACCCAGGATCAGCTGGGGAGTCCCCAGCTGACCCCGGGCTCTATACACAGCAGTGCCGCAGAGCTGATCCTGGCTGGGCTCAGCTGTGCAGCACTGCTGCTTTGAAGTACCCCTTCTTCCGCCCCCTTTACTGCCCCTATCTGATAGAGGCAGCAGGGGGAGAGGGAGAATGACTAGTTGACTAGTCATATCCCTAGTTTGTATATGAAAATGGACATTTTCTATATGCAACACAAGTCAACTATAATGTCCAAAGAGGCCTTCATTTTCAACGCTACCTAGTTGCATGTATGATACACAATATTGAGTGCATGTATTTTGCTGGTGCTATTAAAAAGTAGCTCGCTTAGGAAATGTAGCCTAATAGTTCTGCCTTTGCAAAGTGATGTATACTTCCTTATCTTTTTAAAGATCTTTTCTATTTTTAACTACAACATTCCTGTAGCTGGACAAACAAGGACTGTAAGTTCAGTAAAAAGAAAGGTGTTGTACTGGGCTGAGTGTGCAGCAATCCTGCGACTACTTAGCTAATAGCTAGACATTTACGAATATTCAAGGGTAATCAGTGCCCAGTGGTTTATTTAGTCTTGCCCCCTGAAACACCATTTTTAAATCTCAACCTAAAATCTCTCTTCTCATTACCTTCTGACAGTCTCTCTCTATAGAGCATTTGAGATACTGACTTGGAAGCAAACCCTGTAAACAAATTGGATTGTGTTGTTTAAGTCATGCATCTTACAGCAAAGCATGAGGTCAGCGCTGATTCTGGCCTCTACAAAACAGGTTTCATAAGTACATAATTATTTGTATTGAACAGACCAGCTAGCAACATGAAACACAAATGAGACCCTGTAATATTGTGATGTAAGTACAGCAAGTGGGTACTTCTAGGTCATTCTGTTGAGTCAGGACTCTGTAAAAGATATCGTAAGAGGTAGCCTCAGTCCTCCCACACACGGTCAAGCTTCTGTAGATAATAGATATAGCAGAAATACAGTGATTCAAATTATGTAATTGGTTAATATAGGTCATGATCTCTAAAAGGGCTCCATACTTATTTTGCTTAAAATTAGAAAACATGATTGAGACAGCAGAGAAGCAGAATTCCAAGCATTTCTTCTCCCCCAAAAAGGCTCCCATTCACCACTTTTTCCCTAACCACTCTCATTCTCTCTTCCTGTACATAGTCACAAGTAACTGGGCTTCATGTTTTGGTTATATCCTTTTCCCCCCTCCCAGCTTGGATTTCCACTTGCAAAGTCTATGCCTATATTCTAGGTATCATTTGATTACCCGAATGAGCCAGCTTTCCATTCACAGAGTTTTCTTTAGCATGCTTTAAGAACTATTAAATAACTACTTTCCTCCTAATTCATTTAGAGATAGCTAGATCTCTAATTTATCAGCCCTACTTCTGGAAGTGGAGGAGGCAGAGGAGTTATTTTAATGCTAGTGAAACATGCCAAGTTGTCAGTCCAGCAGAATTAAGTCCTCTATCCCAAGAATGGGACAGCGTGGGCAGCAAACTACCTCTCAATGAACCTCAATTCTAAACCTGCAGGGAACACCTTTAGAAGCATGTGTGTGTTTCATTCCCCCATAGATTTTCCTTGCTCATGTGCCTATTCAGTTCGTCTCTTTCAGATTCTAAACTCTTTAGGACAGAGGACATGTCTGGCCTTTTTCTAATCCCTGTACAAACACCAGGCAAAGTTAAGGTGCTACGTAAGGGATCAGTTGTCTCTCTGGCACAAACATGTGCCGAGGTGATGTAGATATATATATTGCTCCCAAACACAGCATACCCAATGCTGCACTCCTTTATGGATGCTGCACGTTGCCCATTATATGCCAGTTCTCCTCTCAGATGGGAGGTGGCATGGAAGGAGCTGCAATTTTGATCCTCAACAGTTCATCTGTTCCAAATACTTATTTCCAAGCCTAAACCGTAACTATGTATTTTGTAGGAGAGGGAACAGAGCAAGAATGAGGACTGGATAATCCAGCAGCAGCAGCCAGCGTTGCCTAGTTAATGATAGAATGGAATGGAACTTGAGACCCCAGTTCTAATCCTGGCTCTGCCTGGATGACTTTTGCCAACTCACATAATCTCTCTGTCTCAGTTTTCCCATCCCTAAATTGGGAACAACAACGCTTACTTCATTTTAGAATCATAGAACACTAGAACTGGAAGGGACCTTGAGAGGTCATCAAGTCCAGTACCCTGCTCTCATGGCAGGACCCAGTATCATCCAGACCATCCCTGATAGATGTCTATCCAACCTGCTCTTAAATATCTCCAGAGATGGAAATTCTACAACCTACCTAGATAACTTACTCCAGTGTGTAACCACCCCAACAGTTAGGAAGTTTTCCCTAATGTCCAACCTAAACCTCTCTTGCTGCAGTGTAAGCCTATTGCTTCTTGTATTGAACCAAGATAGGATAGGACAAGATGTCATCTCACCCACCATTTTGCATGGTCATAAATGGCTACACAAGATAAAAAGCAACAGGAAAAAGATGCCCAAGTGCTCTTATTTCAATCAAACCTTCCTCAAGTCCTTTGTGAGAAAGCATTTTAGAAGTGAGAGTCTATTTAAAGACAATGTTGCTTTGGCCAATGAAGCTTCTGTTACCTCAGACAAACTAGAATCTCTGCAGTCTGTTAAAGGTTAGCAGCTCTGTTAGTCAGTTTCAGTGACTCATTCAGAGGCATTTCCCATATCCTTCACACCTTGTTCTGTATCAGCATGAAAGAAATAGCTGCCTCTGCTTCAGCTTTTGTTTCACTGTCTCCCTCACTCCTTGTCTGTATGAGAGACCGTCTCCTTCTTGAAGATGTCTTACAATACAGGCTAAAATTCCACCAGACTTTATGATCAGGTTTCCCCATGACGAGCTGTCAGTATTTAAGAGTTTACACCTGTTTAGTTCAGTCCAACTGTCAAAAGGCCCAACAGCATTTAACATTCCCCTGCAACACACTCTCTCCTCCTCCCCCCCCCGCACACACACCACAGTAAAACACAGAGGATAAGGAAGGGCTGGGCAAGATGATGCCCGGAGGCAGGGCCAGCCCGAGCCATTTTGGTGCCCCGGGCTCCAGGCTCGTGGTGCCGCCCCCAGGCGCATGGCACATGCGCGGGCCCACCCCCGGGACGTGCAGCCCTGCCTTCAGGCACACAGTGCATGCGTGGGCCCGCTCCCGGGATGCATGGGCGGACACACAGCGCATGCGCTGCCCAGTCGGCCCGGCCACTGTCGCTGGCGCGCAGCCCGCGGTGGGCTACACCTGGAAGTGCAGGGCCCTGCAGCTGCAGGGGGAAAGGCGCTGCTGGCTGGTGCTGCAGTGGTTAACACAGCCCCCGCCCCAAGCGGCCGCTGCAGCCCACTGGGAGCCCTCTGTAGGTTGGCGCCCTGGGCAGCTGCCAGGCTAGCCCATCCCTTAGTCCAGCCCTGCCTGGAGACCAAATCTGGCCAACCTAACATTTTGATCCGGCCCATGGACTGCATCCAGCCAGTGGCAAGGCAGCAGAATCTTTTGAAATGGCTCACAGTCATGGCACTACCTCTGCAGGGGCTGGAGCCACGAACCTTTAAAATAGCCCCAGCAATACCAGGCGGCTGACAGGCAACATAGCAGTGGCAGAGCTGTGAGCCGTCTGCTGTGTTTTTAATTCAAAACCTCCGGCCCACACAACTCTGAGGGGAGACTAATCCCCAGACCTGCCCCTTCTGCCACAGGCCCCGCCTCTTCTTGGGGTAGAGCTGGCCCATGACCATGTGCCAAAATTCACTAAGTGCCACCCCCCTGCAACAATTATTGTCCATCTCTGGGATAAGTCATACATCTCTTGTCAGCTGTACTCTCACTCCCCACCCCTTCCCTCCTGTTGGTGGCAGCCATTTTAATGAAAAGTAACAGCCTTATATCAGAGACTGTAGGATCACGCCATTCAAATTTAAAAAGGAAATATTTTGCTTCAGTGTTAAAGGGCCATACTGGGGGGGAAAAAGGTAAGGTGCCACGTCCCAGTAACAATTCTGACAGCCATTGTCTCCACTCAGGTATGCTCTGTGGAGTACAAAGGGAAGATAACTGCTGGGACTTCCTTAGGAGAGGTATAGCACATATTCCCCCTAGGTCCTCAGGGCAAAGGAAGCAAAACTATGGCAGTTTCCCTCTCTGCCTCTTTTGGAGGGGACAGTGCTGTTTTTC